TATATATATATATTATATCAGCGGTCAGCCATCGGTGCTGAACAGTGATATCATGCAGTCGATGATGATGATGCTAGCTATATCTCAAAAGGATCACAGCCGACGATCGTAGTCATTTTTCGTGCCCCACATTCGAAATGCGCGCGAAGTCGTAGGGCAGCTGAGATTATCCTGTAAGATGACACCCAATTGAACTTCCTCAGTGCAAAACTGTAAAGTGGTAAACTTATGCTTGTGAGTGCTTAGTTGGATGTGATTATTTTACCCAGAACTCTTTTCGCACATGTACAGCATAGTACAGCAGAAAGTTGAGAAAATTTTGGTACGTTATGTTAGAAATACGGAATTATTGACATCGAATACAGTATCCTAGAGAAGACCAAATAGTATGTAATGGGCTTAGGAGGATCATCCCCCCGTTTTGTCAACGGGCAAGTCAGAGTTCTAAACACATCGTGGGTTTGTATTTTCCGCTACAGTAACTCGTGTTAGACTCATGGTGGATAGTACCCGTCAAATCTCCATATCCATTGATTTTCCCCATTCTTCGTAGTCTTCACGAAGTAGGGGCTTTAAAACAAGCCTTGGCTACATGTCTCTAACGGTCTGAACCAATATGCCAATGGACCTTCATTGTTTAACAATTCGACGGAATATGAAACCACTGTCATTCAGAAGGATGCTTTTTGCTCGGACCAGAGTGAATGCTAAATAGAACAGTGATACACTTCATGCCATATCACACCACATGTACTGGAATTAAAATGTCACAAGTTCGCCGTCGTGGGTGAAGTGTGACGATTTTTTCAATGGCGGTACTTTGGAGCAGCCGCTTGAAACTGCCCGTTTTGATAAATTCTTTTAGAGTGCTGACGATCTGGGTTTGAGGAGGGTGTGTTTACTTTGTTGTTGTCCATATTTCTGTGGGTAACGTGGGTGCCGTCAACAACAACAACAACAACAAAAGAGCGATTTCGCTGGAATTAAATAGTCTCTTGTGAAAACAAAATTAGTGGACCAATGAGTTCACCTCATAGAATGTGGCCAGTTCAGGTTCAAGTGTAATGTAAGAGTCGCGTAAATTCGGAGACAGCGGCTGCTGAAAAGTTTCCATCTGCCTTAGGCGATTAAATAGTTTGGATTAGCCATTGTCCAGTCGTTTGTAGTGAATAAATTACAGTTTGGCGATGCCGGCTTCGTGTTCAGTGTGCCTCAGAACGCATGCGGTTATCGAGAGTACCGTGGTCAAAAACCACAAAAGTTTTGGGATGATATACTGCGTAATAGAAACAAGTAACAAGACGCTAGAGAGAAGAGTAGGCTGAGCGGCCCCATGAAGCTTGCAGGACGGTCGCCATGCTTGTACTATGGTTTTTATGCTCCTACATGTCAACTTAGTTTAAGGTTGAACTCAGTGAGGAGGCTAATACGAACATTGTAACACGGCAACCATTGGCTCAGAAAATTTCACATTGACCATTTGAGCACCATTTAGCGCTTGGTAAGTCAAATAAGATCATGTGCAAGATCACGGTGAAAATCACCCGTATTTTTTGAAGGTTTTAATGACACTATTGCGCTGTTAGATAGATCAAAAGGCAACGTGTGAATGTCAGAGCAAAACTGTTGTTTTTTAGGCGCTTAGGTTAACTTTGATTCTTGATCCACCTATGTTTTCAGTGGTCTTGTATTTTTCAGGTCTCTCATTGTATCCTATTTCAAGGATGATCGTTCCGTCTGTGTCCTATATTTTTTTAGGATCAACTACTTCTAGGTGGCTTTGAGTTTGTTCGAACTTAGGTTTCATACAGACCATCAGAATAAAATGAGGTTTCCAACACCAGTCAAAAGTCATTCTATCCTGGTAAGCCAAGACTGTCTCCGAAAGGCATTTCATATATCTGTAACTTACTACTTTGCTGAATCCAGAAGCTGGTATTCGTTGGCCTTTGTGAATACCCTTTGAACACCCTGATCATTCCACAGCCTCTCTACGGCGTCGAAGAACGACTGGAAATGGGAGAAAATTTGAGTGCTATAAAGAAGTAGGTTGGTAATTTACCATGCATCATTCTTAAGCTCATAGCTTTGTGACAGTGTCAGAATCGGATTGTGCTGGAACCCCGGTTAATGTGTTCTACGTAGAAGAAGCCTCATCGGATTTCCAATAGTGGGCTCTAGTTTTGGGTTTCGATAAACGTGATTGGACAGAACTGAAACTCGGTCGACTGACTTCATACTCACTTTGGGAAAATGGAGTAAAAGAAGGATCTCCGGACAACCAAATTATCAGTCTGGATTTAAAAAGTCAGAACAAACGTGGGCGTTCCCCACTCCGGAATTCGCCTCAGCTTTGCTTTCACCAAACCAGTTCAGGTAGAAGGATAAATTTTACTGTCTCAGTGATTGACAAATCCCGTCTAACTTTGGACACTTTCCAATTTGTGAGTCCGAGGTCCTCTCCAGCATATCCTTTTGATTACGATGTAGATTACTGATATCATACTGCTTATGGCCTTTTATGCAACGTTATTTGAGTTTATCTAAATTTGAATTTAAACATGAAAAGTTTCACAGAGTGCAGAAAAATGATTGAAGCTTTGTATCGTATGTAGGCATGATGGTCGATAAGTTGGGTCACGTTTGTGGGACAAAATGCAGAGTCAGGCGATTGGACTTTTAGATCAACAAAAAAAATCCACAAGCTTGGTCCGTGGAAAGCTAGACGACATGAATATGTCCAATTGAAGAATAATCGCTTTTCAAGCCAAGCATCAAATAGACCATCTCTGACAGACATGGATTCTTTGGCATATTGGGTATCAACTATTTTGGAAGCTTGTGGTTGATCTGTCTTCCGAGAAAATTGTGTTTGAAAGGAAGCACCAGTAAAGAGGCTTAAGATTTTCTTTTGCGGCTAGTATGCATTTGATCTTTGCTAGACGCTCACTAGGTATACAATAAGTAAATTACAGGCTGTCCTATTAGACTACATCACTTTGTCAGTTTATCAGTCCCTGGCTACGTAATCATACATGTCTTCATTTAAATGTCTGAAAGTCCCAGTAATAAAAACGTGCCGGCACCGGTTCTGTTTAAACCCATTTATTTGATGCGAAGGGCCACTTGAATGCTGCAAGATTTTCAGCACGCGGCTAAACCTTCAAGGGACATGTTAAATCGTATTATAAAAGGTTTTTGAACCACACAGAATCTTCCGACTTAAGAATTCAACAGTCTGAATTTTGTAAAATGCGGTCCTCAATGAAAGGGGCTTTGAAGAGGTCAACTAGTCGGGTGAGAGGATCGCGTGTTAGTTTCTACCCAACCACGAGCTGACCTTTGAGCACTTGAATTTATTATGATTGGGACTGATTTTTATCTTACCGCTTTTGTTAGTTGAATATACCTCGTAAAAGAACGATAAGGTTTACTTCGAAAGCTTCCGGTCCCGTAGATCTTTTAAAAAACTGTTCAACACAGTAAGTCAAAGTAAAGTTCTAGCTGACCGGTATTAGACGACAGCAAACCGTAATATAGTCATACTATTATAAAACGTCATATGTACTCCCTTCCGACTGCTCCATCGTTGGATTATATTTCGTGCCAAAGCGAGGCCGCCCCATCCCTGAAAAAAGCTCTGAATTTCGCCTGTAGGACGGCGTCTCCATTTCTGACTACATACTATGTATCAGACAGGACAGCCGCACTGCTCGGAGCTCGGATAAGGGTTCCTGCCGGTCCTGAACATAATATAGCCCAACTAGTTTACAGTTGGCAAGTGAAATTCAGCTTGCGCGCCACCCATGTGGATTACTTGATACGGGAGGCTAAGGGAGTGTAAGAGGCGGACGAAGCTGGGGATGCTCAAAGAGTTTTTTGGGTGATCGGTGTTACCTGGCCTTGGAACCCGCAGAGCAAGGATCCAAAAGGGATAACCATTTTCAATGAAGAAGGATATCTTGACCACCGGGAGGAACACTCCGAACAACGATTTGAGCAACCACTTAGTCCCACTAAGTCAACTGTTTAACTGCACTGAAACGCTGAACGTCAAACGTTGGGTAGTTATGCACCATCAAGCACCTGATCAGGATTGCCTTCAACTCGCACTGTTCAGTCAGCGCCTTTTTGATCTGTTTGCCTTCATTTAGGCACAGAAAACTCCTTAACCAATTTGGGAGAGGAGGGACACCCACTCTTCAAAAGGTGACCCGTAGAATACGCTTTACGAAATGGGTATGCATATGTGGTCAAGGATAATGAATGATCATTCCTGATTTTCTCACAACTTATTAAATATGGCGTCTGTTTTGGCAATCATACTGCGATTGGTTTTCGTAAAAGAAACTACTCGCAATGTTGCTCAAATCAGTTTAACAGCCCACGACGTGTTTCGATCTTGTGGCTCATCAGCTTAGCGAAGTCCCCGAGTTTCCTTGAACCTTATGTTCCACTTGAACCCAATGCACTCATTCGCATACCAATTTGGTTTCCATGGGTGACCCCACTGAACCTCTTGTTGATGATACACTTCAATTAAATGTACTGCACAATGGCCGCCTCATGTTTCAGTTGGCATGATATTCGAGATTGTGCAGTATATTTTCGTTGAGGAAAAAAGAATTTAGTAGGTTTATTTTTTTGACTACCATCCCATCATCCTACCATCCTACCTACCAACCTTAACGCATGGCCTATACTGATCTCCTCACCTGGTTCAACAAATTTCCAGCTGAGGAACAATATTCGGGATATCACATTACCATCTTACAAGGCAAACATGAGGAGGCTTTTGTGCAGCACATTTAGTTGAAGCATATCACAAACGAGACATTCAGTTGAGTTTCCCGTGAAAACCAAATTGATATACCAATGTTTGCATTTGTCGAGATCTGTCAAATTTGGGTTCAAGTAGAATATAAAGTCGACGGAAATTCCGGGACTGCGCTTACCTGATGAGCCGAAATTATCGGGTTTTCTTTTTTAAAAAAAAACATTGAACGATATCTTATTGGAAACATGAAACGTCCTGGTGCAGCACATTTAGTTGTTTAAAAGCATCATGAACGAGGGTTTCAGCTGGTTTCCAGGTGAGTTTCTCATGAAAACCAAATCGGTATGCAAATGATTGAATTTCACAGATGTCAGGCTTCTTTAATCTGAGACTTCAGAAAAGTCGGGATGCGTGATGTCATGTTAATTGGAGAAGTATGGAATGAACGAAAATGAATGACATCAATAATGCCTGGTGGTAAAACTGCCTGTGTTTACATCCCACTGTCTAGGCGAGTAATCTGGCGATCAACAAATGCAAATGCCTCACCTCAGTGAAAACTTGACCTGAATTCCAGGTGGCTTGTCTTGAACTATTTCGTTCGAAAGAGCCAGCGGATGTGCACAAAAGAATCCCAGTTGCTCGCATAGCCACTAATCCTCATATCATTCTCTTCATTTGTCAAAACTCTGTAATCGTGTATGTAGACTAATTCGTTGTGTTCGCCTAATATGTTTGCTCGTGCATGTTAGCTTACAGCTGGTCAGAAAGATCGTGGATTTCGACACCTGTTTGAATCCATACACCGGTCTCCCTGACCAGCCAAACGCCCACCTAATTATAGAAGAAATCTTGCTGCGTCACAAAATCCTGGTGTTCTAAAACATAATGCCATAGGGCAATGTGTTTGAGGCAGAGAGTGTATCTCTTAGGATTGGTTATATATTGTTTTGTAGCACCATTCATTGCATAAAAGACGTGGATTTCCGATCAATATATGACGTAACTAAAACGCTATCATGAAAAATACAATCAGAACCTACTGGAGGATATTCGCTGTCTTCTTTGAATGAAGTGTCTAGAAGGTCTTTGGCCAATTTTGCATTCTCAGCAGTTCCAAATTCTTCACTGAGGACTCGCATTCCACCCAGCAGGGACTAAGTGTTGAAATAAAATGGCCGAAGGTTAGCCACTTATAAAAAGCGAGTATAACTCTCACGTGAATTTAACATAAAATTCGAAACACGCAACTACCCAAGTTGACTTCCAGGCGAACCAGGCGTCGAAATACCAATAAACAATGAAGACCTACTGGAAGGGTGAACCATGAGGTTGTTCTAATTTCGGTGAAGAATAATTGTGCCGAGCATGGTAAGGACTGGCATGTATTGAAAATCACAAAACGAAACCATCTCATCCAATTTACGAAATTATTTTTAACCCAGAAAATTTTCTGGGAAATTTTTAACTGTTATGCGGTTATTACCAATCCGACTTTGCGTAGATACCCACGTTTACCTAAATATTCCTTAAGACTTGCTAGACCCTGATTATATTCGCGTGAAAAAAGTCACTGCAGTTGGCATGACTGAATCTCTGTGCTACAGAACCTTGTGTCTTTTGCACACACATAGTAGCCAAAAGTTGCAAAGGACCAGAAAATGGTGGCCAAACACATTTTGGTGTTCATCACTCAAACTGATCTTTAACTACAAACCAGTGAAACAATAATCGCTTTTAACCAAAAGAACCGCAAAGTCACAAAATCATCCTGCTTAATTCCTACAAAAATTTTAGATTCAACAGGGATCCAACATGGTCTTTTGTCATCAAACATACTGTCAACTCAAGTGCCGGCCAATCGGACAACAAGGTGGTCAACGGGTCTGCTTTAAGCTCATCGATAACCATCAACATCAGTTAGCTGCAGCCTAAAAAATTGACCGCGCACATTATCCAGCCTGCTAATCACCGTTCACGCAGACAGCGAGTGCACTGATTATTTTCTGAAGAAGGGATGACGGATTGCCAAAAGAACACAAAATTAGACTCGCAAACGTCATGTTCCAATCAGGAATCGACAAACAGCAAACTCTGTTGAAAACTATCCTACGTCATCCGTTTTCGTGCTTGGTCAGAAGACGGAAGGCAGTCGATGAACCCGACATAGACCATTCACGAATGACTGCTGATGGGCACAGCTTGATGCTTTACTGATTCTGGTTTCGGTCGGACACACTGTACGTACAGTAAGTGACGTATCAAGTGTTCAATCATCTCTCCGATCAGAGACACGAATCTGAATGCAACTGCTTAGGTCATTAGAACCAACTAGGAAATTCTTTGCATTATCCACACTGTAAACAACTCTTCTGGGCGTCATGTGATGAGAAATGCGGAATCCACTGACTGAATATCAGAATAGAAACCCACATAGTTGGAGTGGATTTTGTTAGTATCCCAGCAGTTCCACATTTCTAGCTTTACCTAGCCCCTAATCGTGGCTACCGAGTGAATACGGACGTGTCTCATAAAACTGTTCCCATGTATGTTTTGGTACTTGCTGAAAGCCTAAACGGTATCGCTTCTTTATGTGACCGGCATGGCTGCACTGAAAGCAACAAGACGCAAGAAACAGACTCGGTTTTGTTTACGCTCGTCAAGCAGAGCGCAGTCACATCGATTTCAACCTGATTGTTAGGACATGTAAATGCGAAACACAGATGACAGCCTTGTCACCGAAATGTATCAGATAACAAGAAATTGAGGGGAGCAAAGAGGTTATCTCATTCAGTGAAACCAGAAGGCGGTTTTCTCACAGATCTGAGGCTTCAGCACTAATCACAAAATGGAACGACGATCAGGTTAGCCGGAGTTTTTCTGAGCACAGAAAGTTCGATCGGAAAATAGAACGGCACCATCCTGAGTTGTTACGACGTTTCCACGCGTTCGGAATTTAGGTTGAAGTGCAGAAATAACTGATTGATTGATTAGACTTCAGGTTGGGATAGAGTACGATTCTAGTAAGTCACTAACTACGATCACTATACGCGTGCAGATGAAACGTTCAATCCAAGTTTGTTGAAGGAATGCGCCATCGGATATGAAAATTAGCCATCTTTTCCATTTTTACAGCATTACAGCCATCGTAAACTACGTTAATTATGGACGATAAATCTATGAGGTTGTATAACGTTAATCATTAAACCCAGCAGATGTAGCGCCAATTTTCACTGCACTTCATCCGCACATGCATTTGACTCTAAAACGCACTCCTTAAGACTTCTCAGGCGGGGGAATATCCGAGTACCGTTTTTCGAAAGGAAACTTCAGATAACAAATTCAATCTTTTTTATTTCAGATAAACCTCCACCTAAGCGACTGTAGAAATTCATCAACTGTCTACTAACAATTTTGGCCTGCCTGGGTCCATCAGGCGGGCTTAGTCCCCAAATGCTGTAAAAGTTCATCAATGACGTAAACAACAGTCTGGCGAGAAGTTGATTTCTAAGCTTCTTTTTGAGTCTCATACCACTAACGACACATGAAAACTGATGTTATTTGCGCTCTGACTACTGCGCATTATTAGGAAGATTATCGGTATCCCTTGATTACGATGGATTCTACCGCATCTCCGCCTCGTTTGATATTGTGTTCGTACGTTCACTTAGGAGGTGACTTCCTTGCAAAACTTTTTTTTATAAAAAAACTACCCGGAGTGACTGTTACGCATAAAGGGGCACAGGACGCATACCATTAATTTCAGAGGAAGCAATAATTACGGCGGCGCCTATGTAGTGCTCTGTTTGCTAGCTGAAAAGTAATTGGCAAACTGAACCGAAGATTTAGAGCTCTAACTTGCCATCTCCACTTTATCACGATCCAATTCACCCATAAACAACAGATTCATATCGACCCCACTTTACTGGCAAGGTAGTTCACCTTTGTTTACAACTTGGTGTTCAAGTAAGACATGATGTTGCCGGAAACCTGAGGACAGCGCATACCTAGTGGATCATGAGAAAAACGGAACTGACAGTGGGATATGGAATAGTTTTCAGTAACTTTGTAAGTAGTATCCGCTTTTCTGCTTACCGTTTGACCAGCTTGTCAAAATTACATTACGACACTGCACATGGTTGTCGTCAATCCTATTATCTACCACGATTTATGTATTATTCAACCGAGGGTACAAGTAGACACTTTGGAACATCAGTTTTGCCTGAAATCGTACCTATCATGCTTTCTTGCTTTTCGATGGACCCGATTGCATGGTCAAGCGAAAAATGCCAACCACGACAGTAAGCCTCAAACTTTTCATCCCATTGCCGCAACCATAGCTCGCACTTCCTAGTTTGATTTGCTTTGAGTGAATGCTCAGAGTCGCATACCAGAAAAAAACGTCCATAAACAGACATTATTCCTGAAGCGAACACATAAGCATCTTCTATCACTTATGGTTTAGCTTTCATCATATTCAGAGTAAAGCTACTTCAGTATAGGCCGAAATCCTGCTTTTCTGCGGTGGGTTGTCTTGGAGCTAGTGCAACAGGCTGGTTAAGTGTGTGTAAACAGGCTTCACATATTAGGTTTACAGGTACGCAGGATTAGTTTAATCTCCCCACGTTTGAGAGTGGAGTCTGTTTTGACTCTTAGATGCGAGAAATTTGAACACAATGAGAACTTCATTAAATGCGGTTTTTTCGAGTGGTAAGCATGAGCGTGCCTTAGTTCAGAATTCAGGACATCGTCTACGGATTTTCTTGTAGAAATGAAGGTTTCACTACCTCTGTTTGAACACATCTGTATTCAATCAAGCGCTGCCGACGCATTGCACACGTCAGCTGTTGCTGACCGGTGCCCATCCAAATGACACACACTGTAATCATGAAGTCCTTGACAAGCCCATTCCGGGGAAATGAGGTTCTTGAACAAGCCTATCAGCGAACCAGTAACGAGGAAAAATAAGTCAAAGCTACATTCGACAGCTGTTATTTTGATAGGAGCTTGAATACTTTAGTAACGGACGGCCTTCTGTCACCCCGATTCGCTCACACATATTCAGTGCGTTAGCTCACCAATCTGTTGCATTAGATAAAGATGTAGTTGGACGGTATCACGCAAGATTACAATGGGGGCCATCTGTTTGGTTTAGACAACGATTCTGATTGGTTTAAGGGGTAACCAGCAGTTTAGACCTTTGCCCTTCACTGCTCTAATATCTAGTCACCCCACTCTGTACAACATTCCATGGTCCCCCTTCAGAAGAGCTGCTCTACATCAACCCGCAGACAACAACTCAGCTCTACGGGAGTGTTAGTAAAACCACAGGATCAACCGACGATGATTGTGCTTGCGAGTTCAACACCGTCTGAAACACATCAACCGTCGCATAACTGCATCAAAGTGCTGACGTCGAGGATGTATCAAATAACGTCGAATTAAATTTGAAAAAAAACGAAACAAAAAACAGCGCAGCACAGGAAAACGAAAACACGGTAACCTTTGTGGATTTACATCATTAAGTACGTTCTCGTAGTTTTGCAGGTGGTAGCCCCCAAGTGGTAAGAGATAATAACTAAATATGTGTTTTTGGGAGATCCTGTTTCGAAAGGCAGAATTTTCAATGACCACGTGTGTCTATTCACATTAAAAACAAAATGCGGATGGAACTGTGAAGAAAAGACCTACAAAATGCAAAGTTTTGAGAGCAAAAGGATGTCTACTTGGCATTTGAATAGTCAATTCTGCCATTACTGTTGAGTATATCACTTGATATCTCAAGCTGATTGGAGTTCAATATATGCGGTAAGCGGGAATTAACCAAGATTCATTCTACAAGGGGTTCTCGACATGCCTTCTTTTCATAGTCGAACTACCAGTGAAATTAAGGACGCCTCTTATGGCGAACGTGTTTACTGACCAACACGAACTAAGCAGTTACGCGCTGTTACATATGAAAGTGAAAATCTCATCTGCGTGCAGTTTTTGAGATGCGAACATTCTCAAGTGCACTGTTGAACATTTCTGAACTTTCTTCGAATGTGAGGCAACAGTAAACAGGCAATGCAAAGTGGTTCCATAATTTTCGTGCTGACTTTTCATCAGATATATGGACTGAACTTCGAGGCTTCGTTGGACGCTACTCTCATGTCCCATGAGCTGTATACACAATTGCGCCACACTTGCACCCCACAAATTTGTCAGTTTTCAAGGTGAAACAAGAAATCAGAGTTAAATTCTGCAGCCTTTGCTCTTGAGTAAGAGTTGGCTCAGAAATACGAGGACATGAACGTTGCCAAAAGGTTAAGGTTGTGGGGACTTCAGGTATGCATTATTATTTTAACATGGTACGAGGAAATAAATGGTGGTATAAATCGCACTGTGTTCACTTCCGGACAATTAAAGCTTTGATCATAGGAATGGCCACTAAACGAGGAGTTCTCATTACCCTTCCAAAGAAGTACTTAAGAGAACCCCCAATTAGTTGCTGACCAGGTGACTGTTGCTCTGTTCAACGAGTTCGGCGATTGGTTTGCAAACGTTTCATCACCATACAAGGAAACATCATCAGTGTGCAGTTGGATGGGTCTCCTCGTATGGTGACGAAACGCTTGCAAGCCAGTTGCCGAGCTTGGCGAACAGCTGAACAACCCCCTGATCAACAACCAATAAACTCACCCAAGCTACCAATATTGCAGCACATTATCAAGAACCCTCAATTTTACGGTGGAAACTGTTGGTAGTTGCCTAAGTCTACTTCGGCTATCCGAAACAAGTTTATCCTATGTCTGGATGTTTGGGACCCTGTTGCATAAAGGCATTGTGAATGACAAATGATGACACTAATTAAATGCCGCAAAACTTAACATTGATACAGATTTGTATTTCTTGTGCCACTTGCATGGGGTTTTTAAAAAAAAGACGCGGAGGCGGCTATCGAGATGAAAGGCGTGTTTAGCTGTTTCCAGTAACACCTATTTAGCGTCCAAAATCAATTATGACCCAACTGACGATTAGGGTTATTAGTATTACCTTATTGATATTATTTTACTGTTATATATTAGTTTATTACCATCTATTTGCATAGTAGTGGAATCTTGGGGTGTTTTTTGTTGCGGCTGATTTGTTTGGAACAAAATCAGTTATCTTATGCCACGGTGACTCCAAACGCAAAAAGAGGAAACTGCGCCCAAAGAGTTGTGGCAGCATTTACGTTTGGAGCTGTTCAAAAAGAGCAAGTAAGTGGTTATCAGATTTCCAGTACGTGTCCACTTTATTGCATTAAGCGCTGTAACTGCAGCTACAGCCTCAACCCATCTGTTGCTGTTTGTTCGGGCTTCGTTGTGACAGATATCAATCTTTAGACGAAGTAATTCCTTATGTAACATACGTTGCCTACTAGTCTGATTGATTCATATGTAAGCATTGGTGATGCACAACCCTCCTTACTGGGCTTTGGCTCATGAGCTTTGTTTCTGTTCTCCATCCACAGAAATTATCGTGAACATCTGCCTTCGAAGAATCATTGTCCCCTGATGCTTCTATAACGTGCATACTAGACTTACTACTAATTCTGCTGTTTGTTGATGCATGCGATATAGTAGACGAGCAAGAACACTGTGACAAAATCATTACGGTTTGGTACCGAAATAAAGTTTGTTTTTTACTGTGCACAATGGTCCAGTGTGCATGGGTGGTCTTTGTGACGCGTGTTTACCCAAGAACAAACTTGCTTATTGGAAGCCACTTGTAATGGCCAGGATAATAAATTGCCAACTGGCAAACCAAACTGTCTTTAAGTATTTCTACGCAGGTGTCAATACGCAACTGTTATTGGGATACCGTTCGGCAGACATACTGGGTAGGACGAACGGGGACCGATCAAAATCCTAATTTGTGGAGCTCAAAGCCTGATCAACCCAAAATGGATTCGTGTGGTTCGAATTCGTTTTTTAAAGCCCCACCACTGTGAATGCATTTCACTATCGCCACTGTTCAGTCTTTTCCCACTAGAACAATTGGATGTCCTGGAAAGTGTGCAACCTTCTCCATTCTAAATAAACCGTTTTGTCACCTCTCATTCACATCAGACTTTCATAGACACTGTCTGGAATGACTGTTGAATAGCGCAAAGCGCTGTACGTCTGTTGGACGGATATTAACTGATTTACCCTGTCTGTCTACGAATGCCATGTTCATTTAAGCCAGCAGAATGGTTTCAACAAAAATGAACTAGACGAATTTGTGGGAATTATATTGTCTGCAAAGGCAACTCACCATCATCGCATCGCGAATGTTTTTGTACACGGGCAAAATGAATTCCTTCTTCTCTCTGAAACGTGATGAATAAATATCTAAGAATACCATAATATAAAATAATATCTGGTGCGAAAGCAAATTTTATACATGAGAACCAATCGATCCATGTAAGGGAGAAAATGCGCTTTGTAGTGTTTCTGAATCCAAGCAGGAGTTGAATACAGCACGGTAAGTTGCCCCAAGATATTATTGTTTCCAGGAAGTGAGGATAACTTTATCCTACGTTGTTCTGTCAAGGTGGTCACAAAGTGGACGGAAGTGTGCCCTCGAGTGTGGAGTTGGTAAAACAAGAAAAGTGACACAATTTGAATGAGGAAAATTCTCTCTCCTAAACACACGTTTGGGTGCTGGAGACACTAGAAGGCGGAAGTTCAAAAGGTTTACTAGTTAGGCGAAAGGCGGATAACCAGGGTCCAAACATGTGCAGAACATGTTCACGTATTTGCCTTATGAGAAGCTCTTGTACCAATCCAGCAATCAGGGACGTCCCACATATGCTCACCTCTCCAGGCGCATTGTCTGATACCATCCAAGTGTTGATCAGTGGTAAGATAAAATTGCCTGGTTCACTGACGGAGCAAAATATAAGCATGGTTATTGTAAAATATTTGGACAATGAAAGCCGGAACAAGTCAGTCAGTGAAACCCACCTCTAATTATAATCTCTCAATGGCTCCTTGTTAAAAAACATAGTTTATCCCGTGTGCGAAAGTGGTTAAGATCATTTGGCTTGTCCCTTCAAGTTACCCACAGTTCGCAGTCTTTCACCGGTCTTTCCGTTTGTTTTGTGATGCTCCGGAAATCTGTGTAGGTCGCCTCAGTTGAAGCCGCTGGGAGATTATCATCCCCATCAAAAGTTCTATTCAAATGTAAGCAACTGACTCACTGCAACACAACTGTTGATTTTGTATTTTGCCAGGTGTTGATTTCCCATATCTTCTACATTTTTACCTAGTTCAGCATAATCTTGTGAGCTGTTCTCTTACGCTATCGCGCTCCTTCAAAATCGTCAAGATGCATGTCTATGCTTCGGAAAGGGACCCCTAAATGCCGGACCAATCTGCTGTCGTCTTCTGGCACCCCAAAAATTAATGACTGTGGAAGAGTAATAATTGCAGTTTCAACAGGTTTTAATACTCATCATTCATTCAAAACCCAGGTTATGTCCTCTTACTTTGTCTTCCTTAATGTGGTATGTATAATTAATTGTCCTCAGTATCTCTGAACTGACAGTTGTGTTTGTTTTAGGCAATATGCCAGGCTTTGGCACTTTGCCTGCCGGTTTGGCAGTGAGCTAGCCTCTTCCCCGTAGTTCTCGGATAGTAAACACGTGATGGTTGGTTAAATTCCACCTAGATTTCTGAAATTCACTGCCGCGTCTGCTGGTGGCACGTTGCACTGAATAACATGTAGTCCAATTAATTACTTCGCTGTGAAATTAGCTACCACCTAAAGCATTCGAATTATTCTGAGGATCTGTATCTTCCTGCGTACTTTGAATTGGTCAATGACAAGTTGCCAGTCCATCACCCCTCAGTAGTTAGTAGCAACAGGTGCATTACTTAATCCTAACATCAAAAAATTCACAACCAATATTCCCCCAAAAAAGACCACACTTTTAACAGTTGGGCACTGGGGTGCAAAGCGGTCGTTTATGTCTACTTACTGATTGTGTTCTCTCGAGTCTAAACTGACCGCCTAGATCGTCAGTCCATCTTAATTTGGCCGGACCGATCAATGTCAAACCACGGGGTTACGTGCATTCAAAATTGATAGACTCGACCAACATGACTCAAACCGACTGCTGTGTTACACTTTTATACCCATCTATAAGTTTTGATTCCTAAACTTTTCACAAATGTTAAGGACTGCTAACAAACTTATCAAAAATTATTCGGTTTTCCAAATTTCTATGTTCTGATAATTCGGTGATTTATTACGACGTACCCAAGGGGACTCAAAATTGAATCGCCCATACACATATTGGCTACCATTGCTTTAATTTTACAATAAGCAGGCTGGCAGATGTCAGTGTCGAATTTCCTCATCTTTAATCACAGTCGCCTACTTTCATCCATCCGCTGTACACCCATCCCCTGGAAACGTTTCTATCCCTGGTGGAGTCATCATCAGCATTGCCTAATATATGGTTATCATATTTACATTTGGCACAGTGTTACGAGTTTTTCGGGTTGCGATTTAACTTTGTGTTTGAATCGACGTTCAAATATGTCATAGAAAACACCAACACGAGCCAAGACCATTAAAAAATTCGATCCGAAAAGCCATTATCTCTCGCAACGGTGGATTTGTTAGATTCATCGACAACACACGCACAAAGGAGTAGAACCATCAGTGCACTCTTCTGTTTAATCACTTTACTTAGGCTCCGTATGCCATTCTTCTAATGCAGGTACTCATTTTATCCATTCTTTACTTGATATATCCGCGTCGAAAAGTGTTTTTTTTAATTTTGGAACCGCACAATTTATTATGTCACTGAATAACACACTTTTTATCTGCACATCTTTACTCTAAGGAGTTTTGTCACGTGGGTATTACGAATTAATTGAAAGAATCCATAGCGGTCAACAGTAAAAAAATCTGTATTCGCATCATACAGTGTCCATTCCATCTCTTCTCTAACCAGCACTAATTAACGATGATAGAGTAACGATAATTTGGAGAAAAAACAGACACATTTTACGCCGTCTGCATCATTATTCAGACAGGACTTTTGAAATATCTGTGACGATAACGCGCGGAAGCTCTGGTGACCCAACTTCAACGCGCGCATGTCCAAGTGACAATCAAACTGCGGTGGCATTACCTGACAACGCGAATTTGAATATGAGGGCTTTACAAAGACATACTTCATAATCCGGTTTCTGATGTTATTCGGTTGCGAGAGATGAGCGCTTCCGGCACTTTAATTTAGTTGAACGTCTGACCTAGTAGACCTCCAGCAAGTAGTAAAATTCATCATATCTCACAGATAGGTTGCGGCTTCGTTTGCGCTTTGTTACTATTTTTAAACTTATTCTGTAGGTGTGACTGCATATGGGGTGATCAACTACGTGTTAAAGTCTCATGTTCACACTAAATAGACGTGTGGTAATCTACACAGTATTTGATCCCAGCATTTTTATCATCAGACCGTTTGCTGGGGGGAGCATCGGACAAGCATTCAGTCATTTTTGACACAAGTATCGGTAAGCTGATAGTGTCATCAAGTTGGTTCAGTAGAACCCAGAAAAAGCAGGTTGTGGGGAGTAGTAGGTGATTCAACTGCCACAAGAGGCTTCTATATCTTTTATACAGCCATCATGAGTCATGGGTTTTTGGGTGCTAGTGACAGTAGAATTCCGCAAGTTATATAAGTTTCATGTGCTGTTTAATTAATTTAGGTATACCAGACTGGTAACAGAATGGTAAAAATTTTTTCCCATGGATCCCCTGCATTGAATATTTACATGGATGTAACCGAGTTACTCTTCCCAGTCTGAAAGAGGTTTCGTCAGTGAAAGGATTGCCTTGTCAGGTAGACTATAAGGCAAAGCCTAGGAAAATACCCATAAGACTCAAAAGTCGGTAAATTAAAAGCTCGTTCTTTGAAATTCGGATATTTTGACCACTCCGGTTGGTTTAAAACATGCACGTTAACGTCAAATCTTGGCTCCATACGTTCGCCGGTCACACTGAATTGAGACAGTTTCAGTCATTGGAGTCATATTAGTAGTTCCGCAGTAAGTGCGTAACATACTTTGCCTAACCGACCATTCTCATGTTGACTTAGGGGAAGTTAGGTTGGGAAAGCGATGGGTTACATCAAACGAATGTGAAGTTTTGGACGTTCAGAACTGTATATGTGCTTGGACTGGGGGAAGTCGATGACTGTGCCCTTTTTTAAATAAGGGGCTCGTAGTGAGTGTGGTAACCACTGGGGGATCAGCTTAAACTTGGTTCTAACGTAATGGCTAGCGTCACTGGTGCTTCTTTACCTTACGGTGGCCCAAGAAACAATGACTCGAGAGAAGCAAGCAGGGTTCCGGCCCGGTAAGGGTTGTGTTGACCATATCTTCGCGTTGTGCGTATCTTGGAAGTTTTACTAATTCTGACTGTGGTGTCATGGCTGAGGTCAATGAACAAATTTGCAAAGGCCCCGATCACATTTGTTAATTTGAGACACCTGTGATGTCAAGGCGATATATCCGTGAATCTCATGGGACGTGTATATCAAGCTACAGTGCGGGTTGTCTTGTTGTATGGCTGTTAGAGCAGCGGAAGTGAGATGTCTTCAGGTGGTCGACAATCGTTGTCTCAGAACCATAGCTCGTTTGGGTTGGTGTCGGCGAATCCGTAACGAGGCAGTTAGAAAGCGCATTTTCGGTTGTGTAACGGGTACTTCTATTGAAGAATGTATCCAGCACCAGAAGCTGCGTTGGTTGGGACATGTGTTGCGTATGCCGAACCATCGTTTGCCTAAAAGAGTGCTGTTCTCCATGCCCAACTCAGAATGACGTAAACAGAGAGGTGGCCAACCCTGGACTTGGCGGAGGAGTATGAAGGAAATCACGAAACGCTTGCGTGCTGTCGGTGCTATTCGTCTTCCAGGATGGGGACCGCGTGATCCTCACTATGCCTGGTTGGAGACACTACAAGATATGGCTGCCAACCGATGTCAGTGGCGTTCTTGTTGTCGATTTCTATCCAGATTGCCTGAGTGGGTATTTGGAGGTGTAGTCACCTCAGAATGATTGTGGCAAGCTGGCACTAAGTCCGTTCTTCATTCACCTTTATTCGTTTCTTCACAATAAGGCTTTCAAATAAATCATGGTTGTACGGCAGTGAAGCATCAGCGTTGAACACATATCATACTGACGATTATGATGAAGACGCACTTAGACACCGGCGTACATATTGGATCAACAGTGCGGTGAAAACAAAAGAAACTAGTTATTAGGAAGGGATAATCAATCAATCAATATTACATCGATTTCGGTTTGGAAAAAT